ACACCATCAATATAATATCTACTGTTAATATTATCATATTCTGTACTCACTATATTATATTTATCTTGTTTACAGTCAGTTGATATAAAACCTGGTTTACAACAATCAATATAATATCTATCATTGATATTATTATATACTGTACTCATTATATTATATTTACCTTGTGTACAGTCAATTGATATAAAACCTGGTTACAACCATCAATATAATATCTACTATTAATATTATTATATGCTGTATTCACTGTATTATATTTACCTTGTGTACAGTCAATTGATATAAAACCTGGTTTACAACCATCAACACAAGTGCCATTCATACTGTCACAAGTTTGACTCTGTAAACAATTTCTATCTGTACACATTTTCGAACACTCTTTGCCGTAAGAGGCTTCGGGGCATTCTGAAAAAATATCATCATATTCAAATAATTAATATCTATCATTGATATTATTATATACTGTACTCATTATATTATATTTACCTTGTGTACAGTCAATTGATATAAAACCTGGTTTACAACCATCATTATAATATCTACCATTAATATTATTATATGCTGTATTCACTGTATTATATTTACCATGTGTACAGTCAGTTGATATAAAACCTGGTTGACAACCATCAATATGATATCTAACATTAACATTATTATATACTGTACTCACTATATTAAATTTACCTTGTGTACAGTCAATTGATATAAAACCTGGTTTACAACCATCAATATAATATCTACTATTAACATTATTATATAATGTACTCACTATATTATATTTACCTTGTGTACAGTCAATTGATATAAAACCTGGTTGACAACCATCAATATAATATCTACCATTAATATTATTATATACTATACTCACTATATTATATTTACCTTGTGTACAGTCAATTGATATAAAACCCGGTTGACAACCATCAATATAATATCTACTATTAATATTATTATATACTGTACTCACTATATTATATTTACCTTGTGTACAGTCACTTGATATAAAACCTGGTTGACAACCATCAATATAATATCTACTATTAATATTATTATATACTGT